CATACATACAGAATGGGAAGCGACTGTCTGGGAAGGAGTACGGCAGAAAGGGATTTAGGGGTCATAATAGACCATAAGCTGAATATGAGTCAGCAGTGTGATGCTGTTGCAAAGAAAGCAAACATGATTCTGGGATGAATTAAGAGGTGTGTTGTGAGCAAGACACGAGAAGTCATTCTTCCTCTCTACTCTGCGCTGGTTAGGCCTCAGTTGGATTATTGTGTCCAGTTCTGGGCACCGCATTTCAAGAAAGATGTGGAGAAATTGGAGAGGGTCCAGAGAAGAGCAACAAGAATGATTAAAGGTCTAGAGAACATGACCTATGAGGGAAGGCTGAAGGAATTAGGTTTGTTTAGTTTAGAAAAGAGAAGATTGAGGGGGGACATGATAGCAGTTTTCAGATATCTAAAAGGGTGTCATAAGGAGGAGGGAGAAAACTTGTTCATTCTGGCCTCTGGGGATAGAACAAGAAGCAATGGGCTTAAACTGCAGCAAGGGAGGTTTAGGTTGGACATTAGGAAAAAGTTCCTAACTGTCAGGGTAGTCAAACACTGGAATAAATTGCCCAGGGAGGGTGTGGAATTTCCATCTGTGGAGATATTTAAGAGTAGGTTAGATAAATGTCTATCAGGGATGGTGTAGACAGTATTTGGTCCTGCCATGAGGGCAGGGGACTGGACTCGATGACCTCTCGAGGTCCCTTCCAGTCCTAGGATTCTATGATTCTATGATTTACTCAGTGCTGCTTGGGTCCCTAACTCAAATATGTTTTGTTGTTCTTCATTTAAATAATTGCTGTTCAGGGGGGCTGGGGTTCAGTTTGCAGCCTGTCCTGGGGGAAAGAGGACTACCCCAGCCCTCTCTCACCACAGCATCTTAGGGTTAGATGAGAAACGCCAGTCTATGGCCATGGCAGCTGCAACAGTCATAGATGGGGGAAGGGTGCATATCCCCTGGCTGGGGGAGACAGATAGACAAACAAGACACACACAAACAGACAAACTGTCTGAAATACATAGTAGATAGCTATCCCTTTCTCCATCTCTGCTCCCTGATAGTCATATGGGGTTATAGCTGTCCCACTTCCATCTCTGGCCCCTTGCTGCCCCTTGTATTCATACTGTAGTATAACTCCTTCCTACCGCACCCATCCCTTTCCATTTTATGAGAAACAACAAATCCCATGCATATCCCATTATCCTGATACAACCAAACCCTGATCTTGCTTTAAGTTATGATAAGAGGAAGCTGCATACCAAATTTGGTGGTTCTAGTTCTTACTGTTTAGGAAGAGTTCTTGAACACACGGACTCACAGACAGACAGACATTTCTAAAATATATGGTAAGAAGATATATTGCTTTATTAAATATGAATCGGTGAAGTGACCACTCCAAATAAATTGAGATATAAAATGTACAGTTTTTGGAAAGTGGAATTAACACTCTAATCTGGGCCAAGATGCAAGGGTGCAGTGGAGTCTTTGGACTGGAACAGTGGCTACAATTCTTCTCCATGGTTTGTACAGCCTGTTAAAATGATTGGATCTATATAATTGGAGATCTCACAACATCATTTTAATTCTCAATTCCAGTGTTTCTCAACCAGTGGTCTGAGTACCGTTAGGGGTACTCAAGAGAAATCTGGGGGGTATGTCAACAGAACTGAAATTTGGAGAAAATTGAATTTTTGTTTTAAGTTTTACAGCTCTTTATTATTTTTGTACTTTTTATACACAAAAATTTCATCGCCCGCCCAACTGTGATTAAGTTGTTTAAACAAATGTGTTGCAATGGTAGAATATGTTTGTGTGTGTCTGAAAACTGTAGGTACTGGGGGTACTTATAATTTTTTTTAAAAAGGGGGCACTTTTTTTTTTTTTTAAAAGGGGTACTTTATAAAAAGAGGTTGATAAACACTGCTTTATTCCACTCTCCATGTAAACCTGTGTGGAACCAGTAGAGAACTCTTGCAAAGCTTGCAGAAAAGGCTCATTTGGTGTATCTACACTTTATTTTAAAACCAGTGACAGCACGTTTCAGAGCCTGGGTCTATAGATTCAAGCTCCCATGGCATGCACTACACTGCTAAAAACAGCCGTGTAGATGTTTCAACTCAGACTCTGACTACTGGGGTGGGCTGTGCCTATGGTTTGCTTTTGCAGCTATACTCTGAGGCTGAAGTACTGTGGAGGATGATATGCTGGTCCTGTGCACCCCCTGTAAATATTTAGTCAACTGAAAGAGCTTTGAAGGAGCAAGTTCTATTTCCTATGTAAATAAGACACAGTTAATGAGGGTGTTGTTTGGCTGCATTATGTATTTAGTGAAGGTTTAGATTGGTCCTCCTGTAAATATGAATAACAAAACATGTAGATGGTACCATGAGCTTTCATGGGCACAGCCCACTTCTTCAGAAGACTGGTGGGCTGTGTCCACGAAAGCTCATGATACCATCTAAATGTTTTTTGTCTACAAAGTGCTACCAGACTATTTGCTGTTTTTTAAGTTTTTCCTGTACAGACTAACTCGGTTATCCTTCTGAAGCTTTGTAAATATGAAGTATTTTATAAAACCTTCCAGAAAATAGTTCCTTAAAAAAAAAACCAAATCCCAAGTATAAACGTCCCCTACGGATGTTTTACTGCTTAAAATCATATTTAAATAAAATAGTTACTAAAAGTTGTTAAAAGTCAAAAAAATCCATGATGAAGCATGAGGCAGCCCCTTATTTGAGGATGATATGAGTTCTCTCCCTGCTTATTCCTCCAGAAGAGAATTATTTCAGGACAAAGCCTGAGCCATAGCTTTGCATTTGTTGACTTCTTTTCAGTATGTGTCACAGGCTAATGTTAATATTAGTAAGTGTGTTTGCTTAGTGGTATTCTTGGATTCCTCTTGAATCCTTACCCCTGAAATGTCATGGTGACTTGTCCCTTAACTGTAGGAAGATGGCTGCAGTTCTGAGTTGCCTGTTAGAGATCACTTGAAGAGCAAGGTTATGCCTTTTCTCTGAGCTAATCATAATTCTGAAGCACTTTCAGAACTTGCTGGGATGAGCGTTCTTTAAACATAGATTTTATAATGGTTAGATTAATAACAGACAACTAATATAAATTAGAGATGGACCCAAACTATGATATTTACCTTTAGTTTGGGACACAAATTGTCATGAAACTCAGGAGTATAAAGATCTAGGATCCCATTTGGACTATAAATGATGACTAAAACATCTATCTTGATCAATTAAATTTGCCCTCAAGTTTTGTCATACAAATTAGCACAAGAAACAATACTGTAAATAAATTACATTCCCCTCAACTGTTTCCTTTAAAGATTATCCAAATACGTATGTGCACCTGAAAAACTAAATAAAATTAAGTTAAATGTGCTGCAACTAACATTTCCCCACTAAAGTACAGAAGAGAATAGGACTGGAAAATGAGTGAATTCTGGCTTTAGATGAAAATGCTGCAATTGAAAACTTTCCAGAACAACATGTACTTGGATCAGTATTAAAGAGAAGTTCTTCAAATGTCTATGCCAAATGACCTAGTATGCAGATAGTGCAGAGCATATTTCACAGTTGTATAAATATTTAAACTCTTTTCCAGCCTATAAGACAAGTAAATTAGATTTTTTTTTAGCTAAAAATAAAACCAACTTTTATTACTATCTTGTAATAATCCATCTTTATTCTGAACTTGATTGGATTTGGTCAGTACTGGTATAGTATCACTGAAGAGAAGTACTTTTTTTAACACTTCATTGCAATAGGACATAAGCTCTCTGACAGCTCAGTGAATTTTGTATAAAAACGGAAAGTTTGTTGTACAGTGTCTGCTTTCCCTGTAGCTCTCTACAGTTTTGGAAAATCCTTGCAAAAATGTCAATATGGGTCCATTTATTTCTCTCCTTTTGATTCAAGGCAGTATTTAATAATTGCAGAACCTTTGCTGCTTTATAATTAGGGCCCTACCAAATTCACAGTGGTGAAAAACACATTGTGGACTATGAAATCTAGTCTTTTGTGAACTTTTGCCTTATACTATACAGATTTCATGGGGGGAGACAAGTGTTTCTCAAACTGGCAGTCCCAATTCAAAAGAGGATTAGGGAGGAGTGTCATAAATTTATTATCAGGGTTTTGTGATATTGCCCCTCTTATTTCTGCACTGCTTTCAAAGATGGGTGGCCAGAGAGTGGTGGTTGCTGGCTGGGAGTCCAGGTCTAAAGGTAGCACCCCACCAATAGCAACACAGAAGTAAGAGTGGTGATCCCATACTATGCCACTCTTCTGTACAGCTGCCTTCAGAGTTGGGTCAGGACTCCTACAGTTACAACAGGGTGAAATTTCAGATTTAAATATCTGAAATCATGGAATTTATGACTTTTAAAATCCCATGATTGTGAATTTGACCAAAATGGACCAGGAATTGGGTAGAACCCTAATTACAATGCATTTGAGCTAGCCAGTGCAAACATGCTAGAGTTTTTCAAATGTTAGCAAAACCAAAATGTTTCAAACAAACTTGAAAAGGGATTAAAATTTCATTTTCTTCCGTGTTTTCTCTTCTTCCTTTTTCCATGTCTTATCCCATGCATCTAAATCATCCTTCTCTTGCTGCCTCATATTTTCACTTCCCTTCTCCATCTCTGTTTCATGCTCTCCAGCCATACGTGAAATGATTATGACAAAGATCGTTGTAGTACACAGGAATCTGATAGAGATCTTACTGAATAAAGTCTTTAATAATGTTAGCACTAGCACAAATACTTGTAAAATGGATAGTAGTTAGTAGTTTGTCATAAAGACGGTTTGTTAATAATAGAACATAACATTTATTTTGAGTAGGGCACGCTTGCACTGGTTCTGTAATGTAACAGTGTATATTTCATACCTTGTAAATGACCGTAATACTGCAAGAGTAAAATACTATCTCTCATTAAACATATTTTTAGAAAAAATTAAGTGTGTATGTATCTGTTTCATCTTTCATAGATTACAGAATGCAAAATGGATGAACATAAAACCTGGTGACATCATCAAAGTGGAGAATAATACATTTGTAGCTGTAAGTAGTTCAAATATTTTCTTCTATAATATATGTTTCAGAGAAAGAAAATAGTAATAAATAATTGCCCCTCTCTATCTTTTTGTGTGAATTGTGTGACTGTTGCCCCGTATTTCTGACATGCATTGATATCTCCGGGTATGTCTACACTACAGCGCTAATTCGAACTAACTTAGTTCGAATTAGTTAATTCGAACTAAGCTAATTCGAACTAACGGATCCAGACTAAAAAACTAGTTCGAATTAGCGTTTTACTAATTCGAACTAGCATGTCCACATTAAGTGGACCCGGAAGCAGTGCTGGCAGGGTATCAGAGGAGAACTTAGAGCGTGGAGATGCTGTCTCAGGCTAGCCGAGGGCTGTGCTTAAACGGACTGACCACCACCACAGACAGACAGTTCTTAGGGTTCCGTGCTTGCTTGTGTACCTCTATGAGGGACAGCTAAGCAGTCCTGGCTTGGAGTGCTCTGAGTGCCCACACTCGGCACATCACAGCACTCGGCCATCAGCCCGGCTGCACTTGACGCAGGCTGCCATCCGGGGGTGCTGTCAATCGGGCGGCTGCAGGAGAGCTTCCACCCCGAGGAGTCCGCAGAGCCACCCCAGTCCTCCCCATCGGGGGCTCGTACCCTCTTACTC